TAAGAGTCCTAAGAGGACTGTGATGAAGATGCCAGGAGACAACACATGGCAACCAAGCCCTGGCAGAGTAAGGACTAAGAAGTGTCAGGACAGGTAGGCACAAGCTTCTCAAAAGCCTCATTGGCCAACTCAGTGAGTTCAGTCCTAGAGGAGTTGAGGACACAGGGACCTATCACATGCCATGATAGAGGGTAGATAGATAGACATATCCCCTGTAACTATGCATCGCTTGCTTCCTAGATGTCTTGGGGACTCATAGGTCTTTCACAATGAGGACCAGACCCTGGAGGAGGATGACCATGACATGCAGGAAAAGGCTTAATCAGAGGCTCACTGCAAAATGCAGGCGCCTTCATCTAAATCTATCATAATTTCACAGGTATAAAGGGAAGTTAATGAATTCTAGCCAAGGCGACTTTGTAAAAACAACCACATTGTAACACATCCTTGCCAGTTATTGGCACCGGGTCTGCAGCGGCCTTTTCAGCACAATGGCAGATCTGAGCTGTGTCCTTATAATCTCCCCAGACCTTGATTTAAAAGCTGCACGTAACACATTGTTTCTAAATACTACAAAAATTAAAAGACCCCTTTTGTAAATGCTACTGTAAATTAGAGCAACTGATTCTCATATAAAATGCTTTTGTTGACATTTTCCCTTGGCCTGTAATGTGACCAGCTGACAGCTGAAACTGACGGTGGCATTCAGTGTGAGTGTTAGCTGGTATTTTCATTTACATGAAGGAATAACACGTCCAGACCTTAGCAGGTACTTCCTGTGAAGCGGAAGGCTCCTGACAGGTTGGCTACTTTGCAACAATACAAGTTTCCATATGTTATATAAAAAGTAAGTGAGCAAAACTCTCTGATTTTCAGGTCTTAGCTGCTGCTTTAAGAAGCCAACACCGATCTGTACCTTGGGGTCTCTGTCTCTCTGTCTCTGCCCCCTTCCTGTCCCCTTTGCCATGCAATGCATTTTCTTGACATCAGACTTCTGAACCTCACAAAGCCTGTCACAACCAGCTTTACCAGCCATTGCCACCACCAGACTACAACTTTACCAGCCACTGCCACTACCAGACTAAAAATGTTTTTCCTTCTCTGAGCCAAGACGTTCCATGCACACAGTCCTACCAGGCACTCCCACAGTACCACCAGTGTCCCTTCTGTGTCCCCTTCCCTGCTGGAGGTTCTGTGTCCTGTACCCTCAGCGCCTCCAGCAGATCAGGCTCCCCTTTCAGTGCTCAGGGGTTGCCTGTTCAAAATGTGCTTTCCTGAGATCAGAGGCCTCCCTTAACTAGTTCCATATAAATAAATATATACGAAAGCTAAATGGAAAAATGTGAAAACGCTTGTTGATCTAGTGGCTTTCCCAAATGTGTCAACAAATATTCCAGGACACCTGCTGTGAGTCACGTACATCCACACTCTGCCTTGTGGCAGCAAGTCAGTGACAGAGAGCACACTCCTCAGTGGGAGTGGCCACCCCCCAGAGGCCCCTGAAGTTGTAGCTGTGGTCGCCTTCTTTCTTCAACTGGAAGGAGTCGCACTTGGATGTGCATCTTGAAGAATAAGCAGATACTGTTTGCGACGTCACACGAGACACAATGGTTTAGATAAAGGGCAAGCTCAACATGGAATCTGTTCGGCAGGGAGAGGCCTGGAGGGCGAAGGAAACGCTCAAGACGGTCTTTTTTAACTTTTAAACCCAGCACAGGTTCTGCTCTTGGAGCGGCGATCAGTTAGCCATCAGCCAGGGCTAGCTGCTGCCCTTGAGTCTTGAAGCCACCCACCTTGGCCAGTAGCTCTCAAACAAGACAGGGCGCTGGGGCCCACCCTGGAGGACATGGACATTCTGACTTCACAGTTTTAACACTGCCCCCTCAAAAAAATTATAATCTGTACCTCACCTCACAGTAAGGCTTTGTCATCGTAGGTCTGGCCACCTTAGCTCTCTTTTCTGCCTCCCGCCCCCCGTTCTCAAGGAAGCTATGTCCACAATGTGGTGTTGACACTCCGATGACCAAGCATCAGTGCCCAGACTGGTGTCACACTGAAGTAGAAACACCGAGGAGGGTATAAGCACTCAGGTGTGGAGAACTAACAATGATGAAGAGCTGGCGCCCCGCCCCCGTGATCAATAGGCCCCGGGACAGTTCAAGAAAGGCTGGCATGGTGATGTCTTCCACACCCCTTTCCTATTCAGATCTGACTAGACCATGGCTGTGCAGTGCTGGGTGCCTGCAGTTTTACACATGGTTTCTTAATTGTGAGAAGGCAAATGAAGCAAGGGGCCTAGGATTTTGCATGCTGTGTGTGGCAGTAAAAAGAGACTGAAGACAGGCTCTGGGAGAGGGCGCAGGGGTGACGTGAAGACAAAGGATGTCCAGAGCCTGTGTCACTGGGTAAGTCTGGGCAATGTCTGGAAAACTGAGGCTGGAAGTGGCCTAAGCAAGTGGAAAATGCAGGGAAGAAATTTATCTTCTACAATTAAGGTCAGTGAATGCCTCCTGTAGAGAGTCAGACAGTAAATACTGGAGGTTTTGAAGGCCCAGGCTCCTCCATGTCCCAACAGACACCTTCTCCAGTCTTCCAGACCTGGGGTTTGATGCCTGTCCAGTTTAAGCTTTCTCTCCCTCTGGCCTACACTTTATTTAATCTGTTTACCTGTCTCTGGCCCGTGGTTTCTGGGTGCCTGTGATGAACAGGTATCTGGCGAGACTCTGGGGACAGCATCTGTGAAGGGGACAGGCCTGTGCAACAGACATACCTTGCTGAGATTCCCAGCCTTGGCAGAAAGGGCTCAGAGACAAATAAAGAATCTTTGCTGATGACAGACATGGCCAGAAGTGAACTGCCTGGCACACAGTTTCAGTCCCTGTTCAAATGCCAGCCCACGGGTTGATCCTGACGTCAGAGCTGGACCCCAGAAGCAGCACCTCGGAAGGAACGCCTGCAGACAGCCTGCTCCGCTCCAAGAGCCCTCCCCAGCCCAGAGCTATCTCCCTGGCTCCAGCCTTCTTTGGGGAGAAAGAAAAGTACTGTAGCCAGCCAGAGGGACAAGTTGCTTTATTATTGGAAAATCTAAGAGTCTCTCAGGCCTGTGCTACACCATTAGGTGACGTCAATAGCTCAGGAGATCCAAGCTCTGTGTTTTCACTCTTCTCAGAACAGCAACTGATTCATGGTAGCAAAGGGGTTTCTATTTAGAGCTGCAGAGGGGAGGCGGCCTCCGTGTCCTGGCATCCTATGCTAATGGCTTGCCCGCTCTCTGTGGGCAGCAGGCAGAGTTCATGGGAGGCCAGAACCGAGATGCTCTACTTCATCTAACTAACAGCCCTAGGCCTACTGTGTGCTGTCAGCTGGGCATGCAAAGCCTGTGACATTGCTAGAGAGGGGGGCAGTCAGCACACAGCTAGCTGTGACAACAGGGACAGAGGCAAAGCAGGAGAGGGGCTTTGGGGGTCTGGGGAAGAAGGAGCACTTCAAGATTCTTGGGTTGAGTCATGAAGGACAGGTAGGATGGGGAGTGGGGGATGTGGAGGTACAGGGATGGGTAATAGGGGCTCTGGAAGTCGCTTCTCTAGATGGGAAAGACAGGAATGAGGGGGAGTGAGGAGGAGAGACTGCCTGACTTTCAGCTCCATCCCCTGCTAAAATGCAAGGCCATGAACTGATATTGATGTTGCACAGAGCCTGCCATGGCTTCTGTGAGAGACGGGCATGCTGGATTTTGGACACGAGTTGTACCTGCTTAATTTCTGGCATGAGAATGAATGACACTAAGTCTCCCTGTCCCCTCTGTGGGTTTACAGACTGAAAATGGTGGCCGGTACCACTTCACACGTATACGTAAGTCCATCTCTAAAGGGATACCCGGATCCCATGTCCCCCTCCCTTTGCTTATTGCCTCTCATGCAAACCTCTTTCTTGCTCATGATATGTCTCCGTGTGGCTGTTTGATGATGTTTTTTTCTCCAGTGACAGTGCATTCGCGTCCTTTCCAAGTGGGTGCTATCAACAAAGTCATTCCTGACCCTAGATTAGGTACCCAGTGGCAAAGGATGCTTTTTGGGTTGGACTCAAACTTCTGAGCCAAACATATGACCACAGATACTTTTGACATTTGGGACTCCGTGAAGGTCACATGATCTGGCCCCTCTTTCCCTCCAGGAGTCCTCTCTAGGAGGAGCCCTGGGGGCTTATATCTTGCTTCCAGTTCAACTCGTCATCTGGCCACACCCACATTGCCCCTCATCATCCCCACTATGTGAGGAAAGGATGGATTAAGCCCTAGGTGCCTTTGAAATTCCTAAGAGACACTGTTCCTTCTTAGAAAATCAAAATCAAGCATCATAGTTTATGCATTGAAAGTAGCTCATTGACAGCCGTATTTATTTCATACTTCCTAGTCCATAAGTTATAAGGTATGAGATGGAAACTCCAGGATCAAATAGAAAAATATAAACCACATAAAACCACTTCCAGCAATACTGGAACATTATAAACTACCTGCAGGCATTTTTAAACCTAAAACCGTGCTAAGTTTCTGTTACTTCAGAAGACAGCATACAAAAGGCACTGCTCTCCACGACGTAATGTAAGAAGAAATTCACAGTACTGATTTGGAATGGTTCTTATTTTGGCTGTGAGCTGGAGGAGTGACTGCTCACATGCATATATACTTTTCATTTGTTTAAGAAATTAAGATAGGCAATGGAACGTTTTTCTTTTTGGTTTTGAGGAAGAATCTTATGTCCCCATAAAATGTATTAGCCTGGAGAGAGCCATGAGGCATAGCGTAACCAAAGCACACTCTTAACAGAGTAAGACAGGCTTGTGGAGAACTGGAAAAAAAACACAAAAACCTGCCAGAGGCTTCCCCATCCACCTTCTTCGATAGCAGTTAGAAGAAACTATGGAGAAAGACAAGCAGAGAACAGGGCGAGGATGACGCATGGGCAAGCTGACAGAGCGGCAGAGGACACGGGATACTGTACCTGCTTGTTATTGTCAGTGGTACAGCACAGCTTCTTGAGGGAGACAAAGTGCCTAATTTTCCTAATGACATAAACAATCGGTGGTTAGTGAGGGGGGAAAAGGAGGAAGCAATCAGGCAGCATAGGGATACGGCAAGGCTCCTCAAAGCTGACTGCCAGGCCCTTCCCAGAGCAGATCTGGTCACAGAACTACATTTGCCTGCAGGAGCCTGGCTTCTCTGCCATCCCCTCCTCCCGCATGGGCCTGCCGTTCTTCAGCTGCCTCCTCGATCTCTTCAGGAGAGACTGACCTGCTACCACAGCAAAACTGGCTTTAATCCTACTGACAACAAATATTTCCTTGCTTACACGGAAAGCAAAAGACTCATTTGGATGGTGACCAAATTTCACGGTTGCTGTTTTTCTTTTAAACATCCTATACGGTGTGCTATGGTTCACTTTAACGATGACACTGAGGTTTTTCTTTTAGGCATCCTAGTTTGCACACTGCGGTCCACCATAAAGATGGCATTTTTTTTTGTTTGTTTGTTTGTTTTAGCCATAGGGGGAAAACATCCCTTGATTAAAAAGTCACAAACTGAATCTAGGAACTTAGCCCATGGTCTTGTTCATTATCACAAGGGCACTAGGACCATAGACGCCAGGTGCACCAACCTAGTGCAAGTCAGCTCCAGGTAGATCCTCACTTGGGAGTAACGCTGTGGAACAGACTGTGTGAGACTGTACACCCAGAAGCCTTCGGGCACCCCTTCCTCCCCCTCTCCATCTCATCCTTCTTCCTGGCTCACTTTCCTCTGCAGGGTTCTCTGATGAGAACATGGGGAAAGACTGATGGATCCCATAATATGAACATCACCCAAGCAAGAAGGGGTAAAACGTCCACATTTTAAAATCAGTATTGCCTCTGAGAGCTCACTGCCTACAATTAGGGGAAACAACACAAAATCATATCTGGATTTAAAAAAAAAAACTTCTTTCTCTCATCTGTCAAATCAGAACAAAAAATTTATTCTGATAGAAATTACCAGGCAATAGTATGTCTCCTCCTCTTTGATTGCCCACTGGTTCTAGTAAAACACACAGAAAAGATTCAGCTTCCTGTTTACAAGAAGACAGTCTAAGAGTGCCCATAAAGACAATGTGACAGTCTCAGGCACCATCTTCTCCCATGGCTCTGTATCGGCCACTGTGGGATCACTAGGCTGAGCTAGCGCCTGCAGGGACGGTAGGTAGCCTCTCCCCGTGGTGGACAAGCCTTGTTTAGGAGCCTGTCACAACCCACAAGCTCCCGAAGCCAGCCAGGGAGGAAATGCCAGAGGAACACTGGGCAGACCTCTCAGGTGACTGAAGAACAGGTTTCAAACTAATCCAGCAAGGAAAATTGGAGGGAAACAACCTTCAAATAGACGGGTGATCTTACGGAGTGGGCTGCTTTTCTATCCTGTGATGATCTGAAATGCACTCGGGTGGTCCTGGAAACCATGTGTGAGAGGGGTTATCTGGTTTCTTGCAATCACTAGCTTATTTTCTTCACCACCATGTCACATGTCCCTTCCAAGGTCAAACCATTAGGTAGTAGTGACCCTCATGCTTTCTGCAAGGCTCATCAGTGAGATTTAGTTTGGAAGCCCATCTGGCACTCTGAGCCTTTCCCCGAACTGTACCTGAGAGAAGGAAAGGGAATCATATGTTTTATTTCTCATGCCCTGCCCCCATGGTTCTCTGATCAGGTGTCACTGGCTCCTGTTCAGATACAACCTGCTGTAGGTTAGCACCTTTAGGACACTCTGGGCCCTTGCATAAGCTCAAAGTCAATATGGAACAAACTGGGGCCTAAAAGAGAGAAGGTTAGCACCCCATGGGCTGAGGGCAGAAGCCAATAGTGCTAGTGGGAGTTCACTTGCCAAGGGGAAGGATAGGCAGAGACCCTGAGAGGTGTTGGGAACAAGGCGGACAACCATGACCAAGCCATAGCTGGGGAGTAGAGCTGGTGCTGCAAGAAAGACCATGAAGAGGAGACAGGGGTGGGGGGAGAGGGAAACCATGTCTGGAGATTGCTGCTGGCCACCTAAGCCCAGGAAAGTACTCCTGTGTGTGTTGTCCTATGGCTTACAATGGTATATCAGTGTGCCAGACAGTGCCCACGAGGGCCTGAGTCCCTATCCACAGCAGAAAGAGTGGAAGAGTTTGCTCTCACCCTCCTTGGCCAATCACTGGGGTGATCTTCACGTGCTGTTGGATGCTGTCCCCGGATTTCCGTCTGGCATAGTAAACCCCCTGCCACTCCTACATGGACAAAGAGAGCTCTTGAGATCCTTCAGTCGAGACCACAGCTGTTCCCACACTGCGTCTTTGCAGACTGAGTCAGAACTTCCCACAGACTCCCAATCCATGTCACGGCACCACTGGGCGGTTGTCCCCACTACAACGCCATCACGATCCCAGGGGATAAATGTAGGAACACCAGGTCAGTGCGTCCACTACCAGGGTGTCTGTCATGAGTCCCACCAGCAGGAGCTCCCTCGGGTGCCACCGCAGCAGAGTTCAGTAGCCAGCCTCAAAATCATCACAACAACCCATGGGCCTGATAGGATCATTCTTAACTTACAGATGGGTAAACTGAGGCTCAGAGAGTCCAACTAGCTTGTCTATGCGGGGAAACAGAGGATCTATCTATAACTGTGTAGTTCTTTTATCCTTTCCAAAGTGCCTTGGCCTTCTGAGAGTCTAGGCACCTCCCACCCAAGGGTCACAAACAAGATCTCCTGCAGTTTCCACAGATGGTACCAAGGGGAGGGAGAGATTCCCGCTGCCACAGGACCCTGGGAACTGGACTGGAATAAAGGACAGGAAATCTTAGAGTTGGGAGTTTTCTTCACTGTTTCTGGAAGGGAGTAGATAACTCTGAAACTGAGGTACCTTGCAGCTATATCTTGATCTCTCTTGTTTATGAAGTGATTAATGAGTGTGCCATTTGAGGTTGCCTCATGTGACTGGGTTATTTTGGCAAAAAAAAGGAGTAATTTATAGAATCTGGTTTCGTTTTCAAGTCTAATCGATCTGATTTTAGAAGTAATTTGGACATTATTATAATCTAAATTTATTCTACCCCTTCCAGTGCTCCCGTCTCCAATTAGGATGATGCTTAATAATGGAGAAAAGAAGAAGAAAACAGAGCCACGTGAGAAGCATTAGGACACCTCAGAAGAAGCAAGAGGTCACTCCGACTCAGAGAGAAGAGATGACAGCCCAAGAAACATCTCTTTCACCTCCGCTGCACCTTCATCTCCCACTGAAGAAGCGAAAAAGAGGCTGGGGATGGGAGGGCTGGGGAGGAAGAGTTACCGTGAATATGGCACAGCCGTGAGTAAAGAGAACAGAAGGAAAACGAAAGATATTTGACTAAAGCAGCAGAGCCTACCAGTCAAGGTGGATATTAGGTCTCTCTAGCCCCTCCTACCAAATCCCAACAAACTGAAAAGGGGGAAAGAGCTACCTGGGTAGAACCCCACTCAGGGATGTAACGCTAGGATAGTGGGGGTGTATTCATGCAAGGGGGCAAGCGGCCTGTCCATACAACAATCAGCTCCTGGGTCATCATGTTGGCATCGAAAATTAACCCATCAACTCCTTTGCAATCTGCAAACAGAAGTTCACTGAACTTTGATGCTCCTAAAGAAGGTAGTCTTAAAGATAAAAGACTTAAACATCCAGGGGCAGGGAGGAGCGCTAAGGGAGGTGTGTGGGTGGGTTCTTGGTTGCACCCACCTTTCCCTTCTTGATGCACGTATTGATGGTGTCCAGGAGGTCTGCCCGGTTCTTGTCACTCTTAGGTAGGTCAGCGAGTTCTTTGCCCAGGAGCTCCCCTTTGTGGTAGCCCATCATCCTCTCAAAGGCAGGGTTGACATACTGTGAGCAGGAGGGGTTATAGATCAGTGTGCCCTGCAGGGAGGTTGTGGGGACACAGGGATACAGAGCCAAAGGTCCCCAGGACAATACTCTACAATATGGGTGCTGCAGGCTCCTCCTTCTTCATTGGGTAGGAGCAGTACCCTCACACACACGGCAATTTGTTCATTCACTTGACATCCTGGTCCTCTATGAGAACTGCAAGGACATCTCAACAGGAAAGGAGCAGGAAGCCCCCAGCTGATGGCCCCAACCTCTGGTGGACCTTACTTGCTGTCTTCTACCCTATGAAATAAGGAAACCCTCACAGGAAAACAGAAATAAGAAGAGGGCTGGGTTCGCAGCTTGGTGGCACCGTGTTTGCCTGGCACATGTAGGCCCCCCAGCACCACTAAATAACAAATAAGCCAACACACATTTGTCATCACATGCAGCTTCTGTTAGTGACATTGTGCAGTGCAGCTGTTTGGTGCTATGTGTCTCTGTGCGATGGTTGGGAGCACTTGGGCCTAATGTAAGTAGCAAATGCAGTTAGCCTATGGGGCTAGGGCATGCTCTTTTAGTGCTGGGGTTAGGGCAGGCAAGGAGAGGATGCCCACGGGGCACTCAGATGTCAACGGATCCGAAGGGTCATCGGCAAACTTCTGCAGGGGCTTCTGGAAGTTGGAGCAACTGCTTTATCTGACCCCAATCCTCCCCCAATTCCTTTTTAAAGATCATAGCCGTCACATGAGTAGCCGTAGCCGAGAGAACAAGCAGTGACCGATGTGAGCACGCTGCACCTGGGTCAATAATTTCTTTGGGAAAAATTCCCACCCATCTGCTGCCTCGGAAGCTTTCTCGCTGGCCATTCCCACCCTCCCCTTAGCTAGGGGAATCCATTGGGAAGTGGGTAGCAGGGATACTGCAGCGGGCGGGTATTCCCTTGGGAGCAAGCTTCTAGGAACACTGAAGAGATGTGGAGGAGTCTCTGGCTATCAGGCACTACGGGAGTGGCTGAAGAGGAGGGGTCCTGACACCATCTTCTTGACCTCCAGATCCTGCCCAGCTCACTTCCATGACAGACATTGACATCCCTCAGCATGGCAGGAATCCCGCCTATCATGGCTGAGCTGGTAGCATGTCCCCTCTCAAGATTTGCCTCTACACGCTGTCTGCTGAGAAAGCCCTTCCTCATTTCTCCCCCACCAACTCCAATGTTCCTTTTCCTGCAGGAAACCTCCTCTGACCCTTGCTCTGTCTGAGTTGGTACCATTCCTAAGGGCTCCCATGGACTTCTGTGTAGGAAATTCTGAAGAATAACATACAACTTGAAATTTGTCTCTCTCATAGGACACTGAAATCCTCAAGTGCGAAGGCTCGAGTTGGGTTATTTAGCCAACACTCACTGAGTAAATGGGTATATTAAAAAGTTTTTTTTCTCCTCCTGATCTGTTGTCTCCTACATTGTCATATGTGTGGGCTCTGCTTTCCCATCTGTAAATCTGAGTAATGGTTACAGTTCTTTTTTATGTTGGAGTTCCTTGAACCTCAGAATCCAGAGGCATAACAGATAGGACTAGAGTCAACGCACCTAAATTCAAATCTTTAAGAACCACTAGAAGATAACTCCATTCCTCTGTCCCTCTGTTTCTGTTTTTCATCTGCAATAACACTACCTGGCTCCCAGGGTTGTTTTTGAGAGACCACTGAGTATAAAATGCTAACAACTGTGCCAGCACATGGGAAGCCCATGCGAAGGTTTTCAGAGCAAATGCAGGTAGATGGTTCATGTGGAAGGAGGCACAGAGGTGGCAAGGCGAAAAAGATTGATACATAAAATGCTGCTTCTAAATTTTAAGTGTATCACCTATGCCCATGGATACACGGCTATCTGTTCAAGTGCCCTGAGATGGGGCACTGATGTGAATCAGCAACATATGTGAACTAGCCTGTCCTTGATGTGTCGTGTGAAATCCAGGTGAGGGTCCCTGAGTGTCCCCCATGTACCATCTCTGTTCCGCTTCTCCTTCGTTTCACTGCACAACCTATGTCAGAATTCAAGATTCCCTTTCAGCAGAGCAACCTCCCCTGTGTGGTACCAGCTACCCTCACGCTCATTTCTTTCTGTCCACGGAAGAGACTGGAGCAAGGGCATGGTTTATGTCATGTTACATCACCCCATCCCTTCTGCCAGGGATGCTGGTTTGCTAACCACAAATTGTCGCCATGGGGCAAAGGACTCGGTTCCTGATCAGAGTGGAGAAGGCACGGGAGGGCAGGGCTACTTTGCCTCAGTTCTGACTCACACTCCAGCTTCCCACTGTGACGTAGGTAGATGGAAAGCCAGCGTCCTCATGAGGAGAACTGAAGGGTCATGTCTGCTTGTGTCCAGCTTTCTGTGTGGTTTAGGATATGGAGGGGTGGGCAGGAAGTGTAAACGTAGCCAGCAAAGTACAGAAGATGTTGGTGTTATTTCAAGGGACAGCCAAGAATATTCTGAAGCATAGCCCCGAATGAAGTCATGCAGGAAGGCTTAGGAGTCAGAAATACGGCTTAGTAGCTTGATTTCAGTGCTCACTTCTTTCCCTTTCCTTGTATAAGTTCCTCTACTTCACTAGGCCTCAGTCTCCCCATCTACCTCTCAAAGGTACGGAACTGAGCAGAGACTACCCAATGGAACTTCTTATGACAGGGATAAGGTGTGGTGGGCTATGGTGCCTCTGACCTGGGACAGGAGCAAGGCATTGCCTGTGTGCACACTGGAGGAAATCCGAGGGTTCAAAAGGAGGCTGGTGCCACAGGAGCCATGGTGTGCTGGTCACTGGTGAAAGCACGTGCTCCTCCATGACACTGCACACCAGCTTCAGCCAGGCCAGAACTAACCAGGGGACCAGGAACATTTCAGAGTACTCTTTGAGGCAGGTAGAAGATTCTTTGTGTGTGCATTTCTTTAGAAAGATGGCAGCAGTATTACAGTGCTTTATAAAAGAATACCAATGGCGGGTGACCAAGTACCTGAAGTATTCTGGTCCCATGGCCACTTACAAGCATTTGCTAAACAACCCTGGGTCTTTACTGTCTTTACAGATGTCCTAAAATTTTCTTCTACCTCTACCTAAGAAATAAAAAAGTTCTGATACGAGCTAATAAGTTTCTTCTATGGGGCTAGAAAGATAATGGTTAAGGGCACTGGCTGCTCTTCTAGAAGACCTGGGTTCAGTTCCCAGCACCTATACAGGGCAGCTCACAATTGCCCATGACTCCAGCTCCAGGGAACTAGACACCCTGTCTCCAGGCACCCTCACATACACTCGTGCATGCATATCTGTGCACATGCACACATGTGCACACACACATATGCATACATGCACGCACTCATGCATGCACACATACATACACTTTAAAAATAATAAATCATAACTGTTGTTCTCTCTTGAATAGCTAGTTCTTACATTTATCAGTAGTCATCTCATACACTGATTTTCCTTTCTTGCAAATATGTGAAAATTATGGAAAAGTAACTGAAATAAAGAAATGGTAGAACCTGGAAGGCTCTATTTTAGTGTTAATGACGCGAAGCACTTCTTCCCATACCTGAATCACATGATCATCACTTGTTATTTCTATGGCTTCGTGACAGTGGTCTAACGCTGTAAACACTGAATTACAGGCCCTGAAAGATGGATAAGATTAGGGTTAGTGCTATACAAACATCGTTGGAACTTTGTTAATTTAGCCACATCGACAGACCTCAGAGTCTCTGGCACTATGCGCTCTGTTACTGTTCACATCCTGAGAGTTGGTATTTCCTCACATCTTGACATTTTAACACAATGTGCAATGCTGTAATGTGGGCACAGTCATGGTCATGGAGAAGGTCAAGTTCCTGTCAATGAGAAGAACCCAGCCTGGCTCAGACTGACCATGAGATATGTTGGCCTTTTGCAACACAGAGAGAGACATTTGCTTTCCTTTTTTTAGGTTGGCAATGCTACTTTGCCTACAGCCACACCCACTGGCATGAAGAAAGATGGGAGTTGCAGGTTGATCCGATCCCCCCTTGTCTAATTCTTTGCACCTGTATATTTTTCTAGCTTCCTACGTGGCTCCTTCTTTGCTGATCTCCCCTGGGTATCTGAAATATTCTAAATCAGACTCCAATTGTGATTTTTATTTTAACTAGCTTCCAAATAGAAAACAACTCCAAATACATTAAGTATTTACAAATTACAAATAAGTATATACAAATTACACTAGCCAACACAGCAACTACATGGCTAGAACCCTGCTATTTAGATGGACTGTATAAAGAATCCAGGAAGGCTTTCTTACACAGTGCAAAGAGTAAAAAAATAAAAAAGAAAGGAAAAGGTTGATTTATGGGATGGATATTTCTTCTTGTAGGGCAAATTCTTCACTGTTATTTTCCTACCATGAGGGGGTGTAATTGGCTGCCACTTTGACCTATTTGTTAGGAAATGACAGAACACTGAGTAAAATTGGACTGTATTTTCCCAGCTACAGGATCCTGGGCAGCTTACGGTCTTTGCTTTTCCTCATTTTCTTCATCTAGAGAATGACTGTAAAAATATGTATTTCATGGGGTTTTGTAATGACCTGAGTAATGTATGGCTTATGCAGGCATTTCTCAAAGTGCTCGGGCCCACATATGGAAGAATACAGAGTGTGGTAGGATTACTACTTGTAAGGTCACAGAGTCATGGTGCTTTGTTCTCTGAGGCTGGCAAAAGCCTCCAGAGAAAAGAAAAACTAATTGCAACTGATCTTTAACCATGATTCTATCTGAATGGGACTCAGTAGCAGCAAAATATCCAGCCTGCAGGCAGAAAGGACCTCAGCACATAAAAGATGGCACTCGTTTCTATGGATGCAGAGATGAAGCTATCAGCATACGGGTAGGTAAGACAAGCATCCACGCTCTGGTCAGTAGGGCAGAGAACGGGACCAGCTTGATGCCACTGCCATTCCTGAGTCTTGCAGGGCATTTCTTCATTCCAATTGCCCACCCAACAACATTTGTACTGTGTACTGTCTAATCACCACCACTATGTTTGTTTTATAAAATCAGCAGAACATTAAAAGGAAAGCTAAGATTGCTATCACTGTCTCCACTGCACTAACTCTTGAGAGGCAAGCAAGAGCCAAGGCTTATCAAAAGTGCTTTCTGCACACCTGGTCTAGAGTGAGCTCAGCTCCATGGGAAGGCCTTTCTAGATACTAAGTACCTTTCAGAAGTGATGCGTGGAGACACAGACTTCACGGAGGCTAATTTGTCAACTCTGAGAGCTGGGTAATTAAGTTCTAATGAACATATTTTATCATATTCCTCTCTGGCACAGGGTTTCTGTAAGGGGTCTCTGTGCATCTCAACCACACGTGCAGGCAGGTGCTGCAGACATGATCATGTTCTCAGACATCCTAGAGCTTCCGAACAGTTTGTTCCAGAGTGTCCAGAGGGACATAGCAAATCCCTATACTGCCATTGACACGAAGGGACGCCGGCAGGACGAGGAGTGACACAGTATTCTCCTTCCTCTCCCTACCATGACCAGCTATGCTCTTTGGACTTTTCAACCTGCTTGGGTTGATGGCTCTATTTAAATAAACCTGCACCAAAATGGGGCAATCAATTTGAGTCATGTTCCTAGAACCAGGGAGCCTAATCGCTGGCATTAATCATTCATACTTTTCAGAGAGAAAAACTGCAGCCTTATTAGTGTCTGTTCCTGGGAATCATGAACTGCATCTCAGATGTCCTTATGCTTTATTCTTAAGGTCAGAGGTCAGAAAACTGGAAGAAAAAAAAAAGAAACAGGAAAGATAATGGGTCATGTAGTTGTTTCTTTTGTGCCTTCTTAAGGGTTTCAAAGGTTCAGATGGAAAAGGCAGCTGTCCTGAATTACAGGTAGGAAGTCCATAAACAGCACAGCGGCGCGGTGGGTGCAAAGTGCGCATGTAGAGTTCTTGATTGTACTCTAGCGCTGTGACCAGGGTGCCAGGCAGCTGAGACTGTGTGGAGAGAACTTCCGGCTCTCAGTGTTTTCTTGCCAATTATGGCTGGAGTGGACATGTGCTGTTCTGTGTATCTTAGAAACGTACTTCATCTGGATTCTACCCAAACAACACACACACACACACACACACACACACACACACGTGCATGCACATACATGCACACACCACCTTAAACAAGGGTAGGACTGTGCAAGGCAATGGTTTTTAAGAAGATTCTGAACATGAGTTAATATCCAATCAGAGGCTCAAGATTAATCAGGCAGACAGAAGAACAGACCAGGGGAATATGGGATTGCTACTTGGAGGCCATCACGGGAAGTGACAAGGATGAGAAGGGATGGCTGTGTTAAGTGTTCACAGCTCTGTGCCCACTGCTGCCCCACCCTGGATGCTGCACAGAACCCATGTGAAGATAAAGGCTCTACAGATGTGTTCATGAGAGAGGTGGTGCACCACAAGACACCCATCAGGCCCTGAATCTTTCTAAAATTGTAGACTGCGCTGTCTTAAGGTCTGTAGTAAAATAAATATGGTCTCTGCAACTCCTACATTAATAATGGGAAGGAACACTGGAGCCAAATGAGCATAAACTGTTAGGTGGATAAGTCACTGTCTTTATTTGAGCGACAAGGTCCTTTCATGACAACGAAGCCAAGAACATTAGAAGAGCTAGATGCTCACCACTTAGCTCGGATCCTCCTGGACACTGCTGTTCACGAACTCTGTTCAGTAGAGCAACTCAACAAATGTGCACAGAAGGGGTTAGGCCCGCTGTCCCTAAAATACACTCTGCACAGAGGAAGTTTCCAGTTGGGCCCCATCATTTGCTCGACTGGACTGAACTTGAATGAGTGATTGGCTTTGTAATGTGCAGACGGAAGTCCCCATTCTCAAACGCCTGGGCTGCAGTGTCCATCGTTAACACTGGTAGCATCCTGCACTGCAGCCTGTGTCCTTGCAGAATGACAGCCGTGCTACACATTTAGCTGCAGCTGGGGGCGGGATTGTAGGGGGGAAAGTATTACATAATTAGACTATAATTATTCTGGCATTGTATAATAAAGAGCTCATTTCCCAGTCTTTAACAAATGACATAGTTGCTTGTCTGCCTTGGGGTACAGGTAGATGTTCTCTATGTCCTTGGGTGCCCTAAAGAGCTGGAACAAGGTCACTGTCTGGATCATTGTCCTCTGTCTGCTGGGTTCAAATCTTGTAGGCCCAGGGAGAATCATGTAAAGTGTAAGCAGTCCCAGCCCTCAAAGGGAGTGAACTCGGCAAGGCCAAAGGAAGGACAGAAGACCAATAGTATTGCAGGTGGAGAAGGAGGCAGCATTCTCGAGGAAGGCAAGCCCTGCTGGCTGGGGCCACTGCTTCCTGGGTTCAGTGCAATCACTAGTTTCATGCTGGTTTACATGAAGAACCTGGATGTTCCCTTATGACCCCAGCAATGCGTCCAACTCCTCCAAGCAGTTCCTGTCGGGGAGCGGAGGAGCAGTGGCAGCGCTCACTCTGTCGGGAGCTGAGAAACACGCAGCTGGGATGTGAGGAGAGCCCGAGGGCTCCCACACATGTCCTGGTCTACTCTGGTCTCAGCAGCACATTGGCCTACCCAAGGGGCTGGCAGGCCTGCTCATTTCAGACTGCCAGGCCAGCTTGCGTACTGCTGACCATGGTCAAGGTGCCCTAAACCTCCCTGGGGGAACCCCCGGTGCCCAGTTCTCTGAGGAATCTGGATTGGGGCACCATCACATGATCTGTGAATACAGAAGCAATGATTCAAAATGGCATGAGGGGCTGGGAGTCACAGCAATAAAATGATGGGGCCTCTGATTTTATTGTAAGTACTAAGTTAAAGGAGTGAACCACAGTGAAATCTCTCTTTTCTCTTTTTATTTATTGCGAAAACATCAAAATTCAAAGGTCTATGTTATTTTACTCTCAATTAAAAATCAACAGAGACTCCCAGGAACTACATACACTTAATGTTCATTATTAAAAAGAACAAATTACTGTATGAAGTTACCTGAAGTAAACATACAGATAGAAAGAAACCAAGGGATTTACCTTAAATATTCAAAATGCTACTCCTTAAGGCCTTGAGCTATCAAAGCATCTCAAACATCAGGATCCCCACTGCTTTGACATACTTTGACTTTCTTAAAATTTATGTATTTATTTATTATTGCTTACAATTTGTATGTTTGTGTGTGTGTGTGTTATTCACATACATGAAATTCAAAGGGCAACTTGTTGGCATCATCTACCTCTGCCACCATGCAGGGGTGGGTGGTATCTAGAGATTAAACTCAGTTTAATGGCAACATCAACACTCTTCACACACACACACACACACACACACACACACACACACACACACACACCAGAAAACACCACACTCCCATCTAAGAGAGTGACTGCATACTCTAATTTTATTTCTTACATCACTGTAATACCCAGACCCGGGAGACCTGCTTCTATGGCCCTATGCAATCTTTCTGCTTCCCAGGGACTGGAGAAAATTAGTTTCAAAGCTACCCTGTCAGATTTCGATACAAAATAGTATAATTATGGTAGGGAGATCTTTTCTTGGTCTTTGCACGATGCACAAAGTACAAAGAGGTACCTCTTAATTGGCCAGAGAGAAGCCATGTAGAGACATCCCTGAAGGAGGCACGAAGCTCCTAGAAACTGGTCTTACCACGGGGCCAAAGGTTTATTCATGTTCTCTAGCCTGGAAAGGGCAGGTTAACAGCAAGTCAGAGCCGAGCTTGAACTAGGCAGGGGCTAGGATCCTGGTTTTCCAAGAGAGCCTACGAGTGGAAGATGACACAGGAAGAACCCCACACAGAATGCAGAGCCAGTGAGAAGCCACCTCTTAAAGCACTACGTCCCTACCAAGACACCTAAAACCGGTTCCTTGACGATATGCCGTGTATACTGAGGCCACAGGCAGACTTCATGAACTCGCCGCTTAACTGTTTTGATGGATAGTGTAATAAATGTACCTGTTGGCTTCCCCAACTCTAACAACCCAACTAGGAATTTATGAAGCTCAAAGTCAGAAGTTGAAACTGATTCTTAAAGGACGCTCTTAGTCTCAGTATAATTATACAAAAATTGACTAGAATTTCCCAAGTTATGGTTTTAATACTGCCACAAATAGTGGAAGATACTGTCAAAAAAGATATACTTTCAATTTGTTTCATTATATCAAGGGATTCCAGTTAATACACTGCCATTGGCTGGCAGTCTAATAGCTTCAAATCCCAGGCATCAGTTATGAGTCTGTGAACTTCGGCCTGTTGACAGTTCAGATTTTTCTAAAGAATTGTTAACGTCACGTGTTGTCTTAGCTTGCTACATACCGTAATTTGAACTGTGAGCGAACTTCCCCATGTTCTATTTGAATCAGTTCATTATAGCAAGCAATTATGCTGCTATTCTCCATAAATCTCTGAAAAGAAAGCAAAGACAATGCATAAGACATCTTCAATTATTTCTTAGAGAGTCAAACAGGGAAACTTAACAGTTGTTCCTGCCCTCAGGTAGCTCATTATGCAAGACATCTTGTAGGTAGGAAGGGGTGACAGAGAGAAGTTGTCAAGGAGTGTGAAGGGTTTGTTCAAGTGTCAGGGAAACAACAGAGCAGGTGATGCACATGGCTCACTTTATAACAAAGATGGGGGGAGCTTCATTATGAGGGGCCACAGCAAAGTAAACACACAGGAGCATAGCGTGCCACCCCAGCTGTGTTAATTACTGAACCGTTCGGCTTTACCCTGTAACCATCGCCTGGAACTCAATATGCAGCATGCTCAGGATGCAATGTGCCATGGATTCACTTTTATAGGAGTATTCTCTGCCTCTTTCCAAATCTTTTGGGTCTCTAATGCAGAGCTCATTCGAAGTATTGGCAAACTCAACAACAGAAGAAGGACAACCAAATGAAAAACTAGGCAAAGAATCTGAGTTGACATTTCTTCAGGAAAACATAGAAAATTTGTTCAGCAAACACATGAATGATGTCCAGCCTCACCAGACTAAAGAAATACAAGTCAAAAGCCAATATGATGCCATTTCATACTCACTAGAATAGGTATAATTTCAAAAAGAAAAATAAATATTAGTAAAAAATGCGCAGAATCAAAGCCCTATGAATTGCTGGCAGGGCTATGAAATGGGCTAGTCACTGTGGAAAACCATGTATGTGTTATTAAAAAATTATAAACTCTAGGTATATAATTGAAAACACTGAAAATGGCTACCTCAAGTAAACCCGTGTGGAATCAGGTCCACACCAGCTTCACTTTCATGGTATGGGGTAGAATAGCAGTCTAGGAAGATGGAAATGGACACAAATGAATTACTGATGTACACTATAATATGCAAAATGCTCCAGTGTATTAAGTGAGAGAAGATCGAGACCAAAAGTCACACACTATAAGAATCCATTTGTGCAAACCATCAAGACAGATGACTCCTTTCAGAGAAATGGCAGACTAACGCTTGACAGAGTTTGTGAAGCAGGACCAGAATGAACTGCTTAGTGGGGACTTGGGGCTAAGGGACATGCTTTAGAACAAGACTGGGGGTGGGAATTGCACATCATGACAGCTCTAAAGGCCACTGCATTGTTCACTTGAAAATGATCTGTTTTAGTTTCATCTCAATTAGAAAAAAGCATTTACATATTTACAAATCCTTAGTGGGTTGAGTAAATGCATGAGCAAAGCCCAAGTCAACCAAAATAGATTTTGAACACCATCAAAGAGCTGTGACGTACATGCTTCATACCAGGAGGAGACATCTGAACCTTCTCAACAAGCCCAAACTCATCTTTACATTAAGTTTTCTAAAGATTTTTTTGTACATGTCTTTTGCCTTCATTTATGTATGTGCACCACATGTCTGTAGTGCCCACAGAGGCCAGGACAGAGTTGGATCTCCTGGAACTGGAGTTACCAACAACTGTGAGCTACCAAGTAGGCACTGAGAATTAAACCTGGGTCCCCTGGAAGGGCAGCCAGTGCTCTTAACCGCTGAGCTACCTCTGCAGTCTCTTCTCTACATCTTTTAATCGAACACATTACTTGGTGCAGGATATACAAGAAATCATGCGTTTCTGTCATAGGAACATGTCAACACTTTGATGAGAAATGAGGAAGGCAGAAAGAAAATAGCCAATAAAAACAGTAGGGAGACAGATTTACTTTAGACTGAAGAAAATGTCTGACATTTTACTTCACACAGAAAATATAAACTTTGCAGAACTTTCCAAGCATATATCTAGCACACTCGCAAGCAAAAAAGGATTCCAAAGGACCCAGTGACAGCCGTGCTTCTCAGGCAGATAGATAGATGGAGGGGAGAGCGCCAGACCCAGCTGAAAGGTCTGCTTATAGATTTCCATCAATCAAGTCAGCCAGAGAGAAAACTCAACTCCTCTCTCCCCTTCTGTCTTAGCATGTAAGTGTGGGTTCACATGCATACACGTGTGCACACTCCCCCTCCCCCTACACACACCTGGAAGGGGTGATCTCTCCATGAGGAATACCTTCAAAGCCCTCTAACTTTCCATAGGCTTCTAACTTCCCAAGAGGAGTGGAGGGGGACCAAGATAAAGCCACAGACACACACACAGAGGAAACACTTGCTCATTTAGTCACAAAGTCAAGTTGTGACACAGAGGAAACACTTGCTCATTTAGTCACAAAGTCAAGTTGTGACAAGATTCACGTCTGCCTGGGTTTTCAGATGAGGGAAACCGGTGCTAGCTGATGACCCTTCTCAGGGGTCACTGGAGACATACAGAGATTTCCAAGGGAAGTGTGTTTAGATGATGGTGGCTCTAGAAGCCCTCAGAACATCTTGTGGGCTAACATGCTCAATTGCCAGTGTGTGCTGAGGGGTCTCACTGGAAGGAGGAATACACGGTCTACAGATTCACCCAGGAGGCCGCCTTTCAGGGAACACAGGAGCTCCTGGCAGGGTACTCCAGGACATGGCTTGGGAAACTACATTAGTGGGCGGACCCAAGACAGAGCGAGGAGAGGACATACAGCTGCAGCCTTCCTTCGTTATGAATCTATAAGCTATTCAGATTTTGGAATCTGTTTCCTCCTCTGAAAAAAAAACACGGAAAAAAAATATCAAATCCTTCATATGTTGAGAAAAATTAAGCAAATCCTCTGGAGCTGGGCCTGATAAATACATCACAGCTCCCCGACTTCCCTCTCCAAAGGAAGTTACTCTGGGGAGAAGTGTGGCTCAGAGCTGCCAGCCCAGCATGCCTTACACATTGCCTCGCACGTGGAGCCCCATAAATACTTGTTGAGATGAATAAGCAACATTTCAGGCTTTTAAAAAAAAAGGCGCATGAAGGTGAATGTAAGAGCGGTTGCATCGGGCAAGATGCTGGCTTCCACAAAGCACACTGTAGGCTGAACATCACTACAGGTGGCCATATCCAAAAGCTTTTGGAGCGAGTTGTTGGGGGTTTCTTCCTGGATCCCCACTCAGCACATAGACCAATGTGCTGGCCCAGTAGCTAGTGACACAAAGCCAAGTTTCAGCAAACGATTTAAATCAAAACAAATCAAGAAAGAGAAACAACCTCACAGAAGGCAAGGCTAGCTGGCATATCTGGAAGGTACTTGGATAGAGAGCTGCCAAAGACAAGATCTTCCCCAAACAAGGAGAGCAGCTGCCTGGAGATCTGCCTCCACTGCACTGAGGCCACAACACATGGAGAAATCAGGGTGCTATGTGTTTCACTGGGAGAAAACCTGAGGGGTTGGGGGCACCCTGATCCACTGGCTTACGCACGGCCTTGACCAAATCAGAGTGAGCACTCAAAACACCAAGTAATCCTTGCTAGGCCCTGGCTTGTAAACTCCCATTCACCATGGGTCCATTCAACGTGTGTGACCTGTTTGGACCTGGGCACAGCATTGCAGGGTAGCACAAGACAGGTAAAAAGAAAGCAGCGAACCCTCTTTTCTTAATATTTGTACCTAGAGAGTGACAATCATTCCCGTCTAAGCTTTCCTGTCAACAGATGTGCAATCTGTCCCCTAGTGAAGAAACTACCCTCCAAATGCACCAATCACAAAACCTGTTGGAGGGAAAGTCACTGAACTGAAGCAGAATTCCAAGGCCGCTCAGGAGACCAATGTACCTCCTAATTGATAGAGCCAATGGCATAGTAAGGTCATCCTTCAGTTGGAAAACCAACGTAACCAGGAAAGCCAATGTCCCCATCCACTCGGAGTATTGACTCTCACTGGGAAAGGTCAGCGTGGGTAAGGGGTGGAGTGGTGTGGTCCATGTGACACAGAAGATCAATAAAACAAGCAAATAATTTCAGTTATCACTAGAAAAATGAATGAGTTAACAAAAATGGCAGTCACATGGCTTCTTTGCTGACTGTCCTCTGGCAATTCTGCATTGCCCAACTCAGACGTATTCTCTTGTCCATATCCAAACAGGAAACAGTATTCTCTTATCCATATCCAAGCAGGGAACATAAGGCGAGCTTTCAGAGACAAATGCCAACCGTCACAAGGAGAGACAGCAGACACACAGGAAGGCGAGTTAGGAGAGTGTGGAATGTTGCGATGTAGACGCAGTCATTTCTATTACACATTACAAACCTCTGCTGCCTCCCATCTTTCACTGAGCTCTGCTCCTAGGCTGAACCGTGCCAAAGCACAGGGAGACTGCTACCCTACCCTAAGAAAGTTACTGCTCCGTGATCTACAACTGAGGCTTTTTATTTTAAATCCAGAATAGCAAAACACCATTATCACTTAAAACACTAAGAACTTACAGGACCATCTGAGTTTAGACTATCAGTTAAATTTACAGAAATCAACTATGAATCGCTACTCTATTTTGACCGAAAATGAAGCGATTTTTTTTAAACAGTAGAAATATATATGTTTGTCTAAGCATGTGAAGGAAAGACTATAAATTTCCTATATGACTCTGCCTAATATTCACCTTTCTTTTCTCACTCCACTTTCTCTTCTTTATTGTAAATTAATTCCATTGTTTTCTTTGTCATTTGCCCCCACATGGCTTTGCCTCCAATCCAGTTTCTATCTTACCTTGTAATCCCAGTTATATGTCTGTATTCCCTTACTTAGGACAATCAGTCTTAATCTTTAAGTTGATATCAATGTATTTCATATAGTTAGGCTTCAAATTGGAGGCTTTTCTTTTTCTGCTGCTAAGCAATGGTTCACAAGCCAACATGAACCTGCTCTCAGTTTAAAAGCTCTGGGCAGGCCCCTGGTGAGCACAGAGCCTAAGCAGTAACGTTGGTACATCACCTTTCTATGACCACACATATGTGCCAAGTCTGATGCGTGAGATGGAGCTACGTGGGTCACTTGAGACTGCTGAATTTTGATCTGATATAAGAGGTATTTTGTTATCACCGTGTACCGGCTGCTGTGATAAGTGGGATTAAGATGACAAGAAGCAAATGGTTGACTGGCACTTGCTAGTCGCTCGCTCACTGCCACCCCATGCAGCACAGTTGCTTCCCTCCCTGGTTCACAGTTCTGAGGCCCATTTCCTGTACAAGCGCTCATGGTTGTGCGCTTTGACCTCAAGGGAGAGTCAGGGAGGCAGTGCCCGCCTTCGAGAGAGGTATTCGATTCCCTCGTACATACCCGGTTGAAGCCGGCATGGAGAAGAGGAAGAACTGAGGCCTCTTCATGGTCACCAGATCTGCAGCAAAGCAGAAAATGTGGTCACTCAGCAGCTATAAACCAGGATTCCTCACACTGAAACATGGAGAGAGAGCAATGAGGCTGTGGACATTCGCTCTAGAGAGGCTTCCTGAACAACGTGTGCCCAGGCAGCACCTGCCTTCAGGGACACAGACATCTGTCTTCCAGATGTAAGCAGAACACAGGCAGTATAGGAAGCAATGGCAGCGTGCTCGATGTGCGCCTCGCACAGGTGAGAGCCACCCTAACTCTGGGTCGCCCTTTGGGTTTGGAGTTGACGTAGAAGAGTAGTCCCATAAAAGGCGATGTCATGCATGTCATGCATGCTGCTTTTCACAAAGCTATGTCCCTAACACAACTAGGTGCACAATTTCCTCCCCAAGACCCAGCTGGGCCCAAATCGCAAGGTGACACAGATACCCATCCTTACAGTCTGTCGGACCATACAACCAAATGGGAAAGAGGTGTAAATTTGAACAAAAATACAGAAGGAAGGGAAAACAAAAATCGATCACGGTCACCCATTTCTTGACATAGTTTTCAATACTGAGCCTGGAGTTGGGCCATGAGTAGGGTGGGGACCAGTCTGTCACTAGGATGTCTCCGAACTCAATTGTCACCATCAAGCCAGTGTCACCCCGAGACAGACACAGGGATTTGCACAGGACACATTCCTTGAAAATTAGGGAAGACAGCTGGGTGGTGGTGGCGCACACCTTTAATCCCAGCACTCAGGAGACAGAGGCAGGTGGATCTCTGTGAGTTCGAGGCCAGCCTGGTCTACAAGAGCTAGTTCCAGGACAGGCACCAAAGCTACAAAGAAACCTTGTCTCAAAAAAAAAAAAAACCAAAAAGAAAGGAAAAGAAAAGAAAAGAAAATTAAGGAAGACAAGAAGCAGGGGAATTGGGTGGAAATGTCATTAGAAAACAGAAGACCCAGTTTGTCTGTGGCTCTACCCATAGCTGACTCCTACCAGATGAATTGCTTCCCTGAGTCCCTCTTTTCCGCCTTCTATGAATGAGGTAGGACAAAGACTCAGTGTAATAATAGTCCACTTCCTAAACTACATGGCGAAGACAGGGGCACTAATTTGGCATCATTCTCTATATAAGAAGCATTTGATAATAATTTAAAAAACCCAGAAGTATCGTAACAAGCCATAGAAAACCACCCCTAGTTAAGGACTCATAAACATTTTTAATATATGAAAAGGACAGAGGCATTTTGGACTCCAGAGGATAAGCGACCTTGGGAGATGCTGTGTAGTGTGGTCTCCCTGGTATCAGGTCCAAGGAGCCTATTCAGATCTCTGGAGGCAAGTGGAGAAGGAGGTTGACCTCCTCCAAGTCCCGGCTCACTCTGGAACCAACCTCTCACCAGGACAGCGGGTATCAGCACCCACGGGGACAGAGCTTCACCTTCTTTGGACCGCAGCCCATGGAAACCATCAAGAAAAGAGCCTCTTCGGCAACATTTCAACACAGAGCTCTGCTCAGGGCAGGGCCTGGCCACCGTGGCTTCCTCTTGTGCCAGCATGACCAGTTACAGTGCACTCATTTCAACTCTCCCTGGGCCAGTCTGCCCTGCAACATCCCACACTTTATCGTCAGAACTGCTGGCCAGTCCACTCCTTCGTGGTAGAATCTGTGCCAAATGCCACAGTAGAGCCAAGTCCATTAGGTCCTGGGCCCTAATTAGGATCTCGGTTGCTCTGAACCGAATAAGAGCCATTAAATGACGATGACAAATTTTGCCACTGGCAAGGATTCCAAGTATTGTGGCATACATACAAAGTACTTTTTTTTCTCTCTCTCTCAGCCAGCTCTGCATTTTAAGTGCAGAACATTCCAGACACTAATCCCAGGAGAACAGTCTCTCATCCCAAGGTGTCACTGTACCAATAGCCAGGCCAATCTTCTTTGTCGTCCAAAACTAACCTAAGTCTGTGGACTGCTGTGAGCCACACAACGGTCCTCACCTAAGCCCCACAATCCTTTTCCTGCAATGGATTTGGCGCCTCAATACTCCCATGCCACATTCTTAAGTGACAACTCAGACACTTTCCTGTCTAAAAGATGAACTAGAACAACGTTCTCTCCAGAGTTCTCAGCTTTCTTACTCATTTTTGGCATGTCATGTTGATGAGAAACCTATTTTCCCCCTGAAGTGTGTGAAAACGTGCTAACAGCCATTATGTAAGAGAGAGAAGGGAAAAGAAAAAAAAAAAACCACCCTAAATATTTTTGGAAACTTGGAAAACAAAACCCTCAAAGCAAGTTCTAGAAGGGGCATTGCATAGTCTAAGATATGCTCATCACAGAGCTGGTTCAAAACCTGCATTCCATCATGTAAGTGTCTCAGATGGAATAGTAATGCTAGGTGTGGGGGTGCTGCTGGGGGTGGGGGTGCATCTGGGGGTATGGGTGAAGGTGGGGGTGAGGGTGCAGCTGGGGATGAGGGTGCACCTGGGGGTGTGGATGCAACTGGGGGTGAGGGTGCTGCTGGGGGTGGGGGTGCAGCTGGGGGTGGGGAGGTACTGGGGGGTGGGGGGTTGCGGGGGGCGAGGTGCTGCTGGGGGTGGGGGTGAGGGTGCAGTTGGGGATGAGGGTGCACCTGGGGGTGTGGATACAGCTGGGGGTGAGGGTGCTGCTGGGGGTGAGGGTGCAGCTGGGGGTGGGGTGCTGCTGGGGGTTGGGGTGCTGCTGGGGGTGGGGGTGAAGCTGGGGGTGAGGGTGCAGCTGGGGGTGCAGGTGAAGCTGGAGGTGGGGTGCAGCTTGGGGTGGGGTGCTGTTGGGGGTGAGGATGCAGCCAGGAGTGGGGGTGCTGCTGGGGGCAAGGGTGCAGCTGGGAGTGGGGGTCCTGCTGGGGTGGGAGGTGTTGTTGGCGTGGGGTGCTGCTGGTATTGAGAGGTGTTGCTGGGGGTGGGGGCTGCCGAAGGAAGTGAGAGGTTCTGTTGGGGGTAGGAGATGCTGCTGGAGTCAGAATGCTGTAGGGCATGCTTGGGTAGGGTAGGCGGTGGACTTACGCTTGTGAAACCACAGCCAGAATCACGGTGTGCTCAGAGGGGTTGGTGGCCCGGATTGACCTGTAGAAAGAAGTATCAAGTCAAAGCAGCGATCTGGGCTCTGTTGCATTAAGCTATTATGGAAACTTCTCTGCACTGATTGTGGTACCAAATCAAATCGTCCTTCAAAGGAAAAGTTTCAGAACACACATGAGACAGCAAAGAAAGATGACTTTGGAAACTGGAACAACATATTTAATTAATTTATTAATTTTGTTAGTTTTGTAATTATTTTAAACTCCTGAGCAATTTTCCAACAGGCCAGACTCACCAGTTTTCTACTTCAAAACTGGCAAATTCCACTTGAATTTCCTGTTTTCTGATTGAAATCTGACTCTCTTTTTAAAAACATGGCAGTACTATAGTCCTTCAATGATCAATTGGTACCTAGCCAGCCAACTAGGTTGGATTACTTTCCTTTGAAAACAATAGATCATATAAAATAACAATAAAATTGACAACGATAATATCAAAATAACAGAATAAAATTGATCTAACAATAAAAGTTAAAGTGCTTGCTGGCAGACAAACAGACAAATGAAGCCTAAATCCTGCTAAACATCATTCAAAGAGTGTCCCTCTCCCTGTCCATATGTCACTGATGCTTCTATACTTGGCCGTCAGCTGGGCTTGAGAAAGATTATAAAGTAACTGTCAATTAGGTTGCTGGACTAGGACCACCTGTAGACAATCAATGTATTCCTTAGCAATTCCATAGAATATAAACACACGCAGGTTGTAATATTTTGAGGTTTGTGACCCTCACAAGAAAGCTCAGATTCTAGACTTCTCTTTGGTCAGGGCTCCGTGAATCGGCCAAGCCTTTAATAAAGGACCACATTCTTGAATCTATGGAAATCAGCACGGACCGTTTGAACCTATGTCTGTGGTCTGACTTCTGCTTATTTTGAGATCTTTCTAAGAGGAACTGTTTATCACCAAGGGCAGGGCGGCTAGACAGGTCCACTCCAGTATTGGTGCTCATCCCTTCCGGTTCCCATCCAGCCTCCCACAGAGCAGGTTCCAGAAGACTCAGTTTACATGTGGGAGCCTAATGTATAGACACTCACAAAGGAACCAGTTCCCATCTGATGAGAAAAAAATACAGCATCTGAGAGGCCCTCTCTGAGATCCAGGGAGATGCTATACCCATCTTCTTTTCACACAGCTTCTCCCACCCAGTGATGTGGTGGGGACACACTGCTAGGTCACCTTCTTAAGAGCCTGGACTTGGACAAGAGGCGAACTCACATACTGAACGTGCTGAGTGGGAGCAGGCTCTTGACTTCCTTTGTGACTGGCGCCTGTCTTTTGGGTTACTTCTTGCTCCCCAGAGGAACTGCTCTTAAGAGGGACTCCAATGCCTTCCTGGTGAGAAGACTAAGGGAGATCTGGAGGTGTGTCGGTCTGGGGTCAGGATGCTAAATGAAAGAAAAACCGGGACCTAGGCCCACAGAGGACAGAAGGGAACGTACTTCTAGTGGCGCATGTCCACCACTCACTTCAGTACAGAACACTGCTGGTTGTCAGTCATTCAAGAATCTGGCCGCTCCTAGCAGGACCAGTAACAGACAGTTAGCACATAGACACACACAACTTCCTTCTGACCTCATATTCCCTACTGCCTTTCTAAGCAGCTGTAATAGAGACACAAACATCATGCCTCTATCTCTAAGGAAGACTACAAAGATCCATCTAGACCTTAGAGGATGCTTGTCTTGAATAATTGTATACCTGCCCTTGTACACCTGAAGCAGTGTTTGATTAAAGAGCCATACGAGATGAGTGAGCAAGGGCCAGGACCCAGTTCCAACCTGAAAATCATTTAGAAAGAAGATTATATTTTGTTTTGTTGGTTTTCTGTTTTTTGAGACAATGTCTTGCTATGTAGCGCAAGCTGGTCTTGAACTCAGTAATCCTCCTGCCTCAGTCTCCCAAGTGCTGGGATAACTGAAGTGTTCCATTATACCTGGTTAGAAAGAAAATATATTTCTTAATAGTAAAAATATCATTTTGCATGTGTGTTACTAAATAGGAAAATATTTCTATGGAGAAAGGTAAGATTTGAAACTGATAAAGCACTGGTTAGTAGCCTAGTGGTGGTAGAACATGCCTTTAATCTGAGCACTCGGGAGGCAGAGGCAGGTGGATCTCCATGAGTTCAAGTCCAGCCTGGTCTACAAGAGCTAGTGCCAAGACAGGCTCCAAAGCTACACAGAGAAACCCTGTCTCGAGATAGCCAAAACAATCCTATACAATAAAGGAACTTCCGGAGGCATTACCATACCTGACTTCAAACTCTATTACAGAGGTACAGCAATGAAAACAGCTTGGTATTGGCATAAAAACAGAGACATCGACCAATGGAATCGAATCGAAGACATGGATAGTAACCCACAAACCTATGAACACCTGATTTTCGGCAAAGGAGCTAAAAGTATACAATGGAAGAAAGAAAGCATCTTCAACAAATGGTGCTGGCATAACTGGATGTCGACCTGTAGAAGAATGAAAATAGATCCATATCTATCACCACGCACAAAACTCAAGTCCAAATGGATTAAAGACCTCAATATAAATCTGACCACATTGAACCTGATAGAAGAGAAAGTGGGAAGTAGTCTACAACACATGGGCACAGGAGACCACTTCCTACATGTAACCCCAGTAGCACAGTCAATAAGAGCAACATTGAATAAATGGGACCTCCTGAAACTGAGAAGCTTCTGTAAAGCAAAGGAGACTGTCATAAAGACAAAAAGGCATCAGTAGGACTGGGAGAAGATCTTCACCAACCCCATATCAGACAAAGTTCCGATCTCCAAAATATATCGAGAAACCAAAAACCAAAACCAAACCAAAACAAAACAAACCCCACCAAAAAACCCACTGGTTAATTAACAAAAACTCTTTGGGAAAATGCAAGTCATCAAAAAATGGCAAGGCAAGGCAAAGCCTGTGACAAAAATTCTTAATCCATTAATGTTTTGTCAGGATACCAAAAGTTTTAAGAATCAATTTCTTTATTTTTAATTTACTAATATTCAATAAAAGTCTGGCCCCATATGTAACTGGACTCTGTCCTGTTCTCAATTAATTAATTAGTGACTCTTCCAGGCCGATGTCCAAACATTCAACTTCTGTTGAAAGGCTCAGTTCATCCTGAGCAAACTCTTAACATTGTGAATCTATTTATGGCCAGACAGGTGCTTGCTCCCTCAAGTGCAAGCATTTGTATAAAAAGGTGGGGGCATGGGCCCCAGGAAGACTCTGCCACTAAAGTGGCTGCCTTCTTCCCTCCATATCTGGGAAGCCTGCTACAGGATCTACCCATCTGTGTCACGTATGGAAAAAATCTCTGTTTCACACATTTCTGATGTTCATTTTGGGACAGAATAATGAAGTTTAAAATATCTACTTTAAATCTAAACTACGTGTAGTAAAAACTGTGTGAATTTTAATGACTCTTTGATGAGCAACACTCGGGAGGGGTGGGGGACCATCCTTAAGCTTTAGAATGAGTCCAGCCTCTAAATTCAATGCAATTCAAATGTGCAGAAATGGGAAGGCAAGATGCATCTGTAGGAAGGAGCCGTAGCCTGGGTCTTGGCAATCCAGATCTATGACTCTCAGGTCAGTGCTGGGACACAAAGCTATCTATAGAGGAAGTTCATTTAGGGCAGATCAGGGGGGTTTACTAAGCAACTCAGAGAAATGTACCTGCACACCGCTTCTGCATCGAAGTTTCGGGTTTGCCTGTGATCGATCACAATTATTTCATGATGCTTGTCCAGAAAGCACTCAAGGGCCGATTCTGGAGTGCGAGCAATGTTGCACCTGTAGCCAGCCCTGTCACAGGCCCACCAGAAGCCGTCACTCTGACTATCCTCCTTGGCAAAGATTAGCAAAACCTGAAACAGAAAGAAGAACATCTTGAACCGAAATCCACACCCTCTGGACGGCACTGAAAACAGGCCGTGGGGACACTGGCTAAAGACAGGGCTCCAAAGGAAAGCTGTCTGGGTTCAGCTCCAACAACGCCCGGACTCTCCAAACAAGCTATACCATCTTCGTGGATAGGAACTAGTTGGGAGGAAGGAGGGTGAGACACAGGTAGGTGCTCGATCATTCTAGTGAGGAGTGGATGTTGCTGGCTGCCAGTTTTCTTACAGTCAGCTCTATTTTTTAAAATGAGGGGAACAGCATTATTACAGACAGGATAAGTCACGTGGGTTCTGCAGGTAGCATGGTGATCTGCAAATGCACACATCTGGTCCGATGCAAATGGTTTTTGCTTCCAAGTCCCTGGAGGCTTCCTGTGCTTGGCACTGAAATAGCTGCAGAGACGCAGGAACTTGAGAGTACTGACAACAACCTGAGAGATTAATGTAAACACCCAACTCTTGCCAGCACGGCAAAAGACTGATCATGAACCGTGAGGCTGATGGAACCAAACTGAGGACGACTTGCCTCTCTTTGCCTCATTGCAGAGACTAGCCCCATCCATGGAAAAGAAGGTAGGTGCCATGTAGACACTCCTCAGCATTCTTGACCTCAGGAATCCAGAGTCTCTGGCAGCTGGGAAGCTAGGGAAGCCTTACCACCACTTGCACCTCTTTAGGGTCTAACTTGAGCACTGAGAATGAAGCCTCTGTGGAGTGAAGGTGGCCAGTCCTGTTCCTTACCATGTTCCTCTGCCCAGGAGGTGGCTGGCACTTATGAGCTGCCTGGTCAAACCTTGATAGTTGAGACAGTAACTGGTTGTAGAGTTTTATAAAAGCTACAAGAAGGTTATTCCTGTTTTATTTTTGAGAAAGATTCTTGCTAGGAAGCCCCAGATAGCCTTGATGTCACAGCCCTTGAAGCTGCTGAGTAACTGGGTTTACAGGCATGCACCATTGCAAAGGCCTTCACTACGATCCTGATCCTGCAGGCGTGAGGCATCCTTCAGCAATAGGGTGCGATGGAAAAACACAAGAATTGAAGACATTGCTAAGGCACGCTCTAGCATCCATTTCTGGTTTAAACATTAGAACTAGAACAGTATTCTCTCAGCATGGAGGGCTTTTAAGGCAATGCCATAGGTCATGGTAAAATACCCAAAGTGTTTCACATATAATCAGAGCAGAAATAAGCCACAGTGTCCAACGGCTACCATTATGTTTTTAAAATACTGCATTGCTTGAACATTAGAAACCCATAAGGAAGCAGACACACTAATATAATGAATCTCACCCACCCATCAATCAGTTTCAGCAATAGCCAACTACTAGCCAATAGGGGCTTGTTCTATTCCTCCCTCTAACCCAGTGGTTCTCAACCTTCCTAAGGCCTCGACTCTTTAATACAGTTCCTCATGTTGTGGTGACACCCCAGCTATAAAATTATTTTGTTAGTACTTTTTAACTGTAATTTTGCTACTGTTAGGAATCGTAATGTAAATAGCTGATATGTGATCCCCCATGGGGGCTTCAAACCACAAGATGAGAACCACTACTCTATCCCAAATCGTGTGTGTGTGTGTGTGTGTGTGTGTGTGTGTGTGTGTGTGATACAATCAACATAATCTTATCCACACATATCTGTTAAACAGAAAGATTCATTCCTGTAAGGAAAAAACCACAATACCACTTCATACCTAAACCTCCCCCAATAATCCCTGAACATTAAAAATATCCAAATATATCATCTATGTCAATCATATCACACTCTGAATAATTTTTTGTTTTCTCAAGTATCATGCCTCCAGGAACAGAAATATCTGTTTTATTTTTCCAGCACGATTTTAACATCTTTTTTATTTTTCGGAATGATTTTAACATCTTTTTTATTTTTCAGCACATGATTTAATACCATCTGCCAGAAAACATGGGGTGGCTCTCTTTCTCTAAGGGCTCACCCTGGCCAAGGTCTACCACTCCAGCCTGAGATGCTCCTAACCTTTGCAGACACTGAGATGCTACTAGAAAGAGGCAGGAGGGAGCTCTCCCAGAGAGGTGAAGGGTGCTGCTTGGTGGGTCACGACATTGGAAAGAAAGCCTTCAAATCAGACAGTTACTATGGCAAGGACAACAAGTAAGACTAGGTTGAAGCTTCCTTGTGCAAAAAGTCATGAGCCTTCTCCTTGGTACAACTGTGATATTAAGAGGAGAAACAATGTGTAGAAGCCAAGAGCCAGAAGCTGACAGAATCTTTTGCCTCATGTCTGTCTGGTTATGTGATGGCTCTATAAACAAGAATCTCAAACCACACCCATTTCCTTGGGATCATTATGGTTCAATACTGACCAGTACAATAAGAATACAAATCTACTCTCACCTATTGGACCATGCTACAGATTCTAACCAATCGTCCTCATTTTCTGTATTTTTACACAAAACTGGAAGGTCTCACTTTTTTAAAAAAAAAAGTCATCAAAAGGTATTATTCCACAGATATTTCCTGAACACATAGTATATTCCTGATACCATTAAAAATAAAACTTAGCGTATGTTGTTGGACAAAAGAAAAACTCTTTGTCATAGTAAAGAGCGGCTAATAGGCAATAAAGACATTGAGAAATGAGACTACGGAAGGTTAATAAGTGATACAAGCCATCTAAAAAGTAGCAGGCAGAGCTGGAGAGATGGCTCAGCTGTTAAAGGCTGGACTCACAAAAAAAAAAGTAGCAGGTGGGGTGAGGAAACTCTGGAGTGGGTATCAGCAAGGGGAGGGGGCAGGTGGTCAAGAAAGGAGTTGGTGTTTGGCAGTAAAACTCTCCAGGCAGAATTCTGGAAGCCCCCTAAGACAGTGGTTCTCAGCTTTCCTAATGCGGTGACCCTTTAATACAGTTCTTTATGCGGTAGTGGCCCCCAACCACAAAATTTTCATTGCTATTTCATACCTGTAATTTTGCTACTGTTATGAATCCTAACGTAAAATATCTGTATTTTCTGATGGTCTTAGGTGACACATGAGAAGGTATCGCAAGCCACAGGTTAAGAACCACAGTTCTAAGAGGTTCATGACTATGTCTGGGTGTCTGGGGTGTCTGAGCACACTGGTGAGCCAGTGTGATAGAGATGGAGGAAGGATGGGCAAATGTCCCAAGAGAAGCAGAGGGCTAGACTATAGGAAGGCCATCTTGGCCAATTTACAAAACAAAACAAAACAAAAAAAACCCCAACTAGACATATGACTGATTTAAATTGGGGTGTGTATTAACCATGCTGTGACAACTAACCTTAGTTATCAACTTGGCTACATGTAGAATCTACTAAACCCAAACAGCTGGGCACACCTGTAAGGGATTTTCTTGAGTAGGCTGCTTAAACTGGGAGGACCCCCTCCCAAGTCTGGGTCACACCTTCTGATGGCTACCTACATTAAGGAAACGAAGAAGGGAGTTTTTGGCTTTTGGCTGTTGTCCTCATTCATCTATTCTGTGGCTGTGGCATCCCTTCGATGGTATTAGAACCCACTTCTTCTAGATTCTAACATAGACTGAAGAGCATTAGCTCTCTAGATTTCCTGGGACTCACACACCTGATTGGGACCATTGAGACATCTAGTCTCATGGGCAGAACAGCTACTAGATCCTTGGCTTTTCTATTGGGAGACAACCATGGTTGAACTCCGATAAATCCCCTATATATCATTATGACTCAATAATGACTGGTCCGATAAGAATACAAGTCTCTTCTCTCCTGTTGGAGTATGCTACAGATGTCAATAAATTTTATTCATGTCATGCCCACCTTTTGAAAAAAAGGCAAGAAGCAATATTCCAGAAATATTTCCTGAACATCTACTCTGTGTGTGTGTGTGTGTGTGTGTGTGTGTGTGTGTTGTGTGTATGTGTATTGTTTTCATTCTTTCAGTTCTGATCTTACAGAAAACTCTGACTAACACACATGCCTTTCTGATGTTTTGACACCAGGACTTTGACATGGGGGAGAGAGGATTTCTCAGAGTTGATGAATTTCTGATGGTCCCGGCCCTCAGACACTGTCCTCCTGCCCCAATCAGCTCAGGACCAGACACCTACAAACTAAAAACAATCCCTATGTCCACGGTCCCCAAAACTTCCCAATTGTCCAGATTTGCTCGTCTTAAACTTGCATACGCTGTCTGCCCTTATTGTCTCATAAAACCTCAGGAAGCCTTCTGCATCTGTCACTTCCTGGTCCCCAGGACCCCTGGCTGGCCCTGGAGTGTGCCTGAGTGGTCCATTAGTGTGATGTTTCACTTTCTTTTGGAAACTTGAACCATATTTTCAATGGAATATTTGTCATGATGTATTAGTTTACCTGAATAACATTAATACTACTGCTGCTGATAGTAATAATATATTCTACATTTGAAAGGGAGTGTTTATATTAGAAGAGTACTTACTAGAACATTTCTTTGGGTGATACTTAAACTTCTTTCCATTTATAGCACATTGATTTAGAAAAATCAACCAAAAGCAAAATGGAGATCCATAGCTTTTAGGGTAACAACACAAGAGCATCCATCTTGGAATGTGCTGGCCTATCTCTAGGAAATCATTCCTTCTCCAAGGGAGTGGTGGATCCGAGTCACCATCTCCAAGATCACAGCTGGTTTAAGGGCATCCTATTTCCAGAAACGTAGATTCCCAGAAGAGAATCACAAAGGATGCTGACTGGGAACCGTGGCCACTAATAGTGGACACATGGAAGGAAGGGCTTGAAAGTTTCACTGTCAAAGTTCTCAGAGGCAGCCCGGCCCCACTGCCACCTCTTCCAAGCCACGGCTTTGCAACTAACTCTTCCTTGGATCCTGCAAAGAATCTCTCTCTCTCTCTCTCCCCACCCCTCTCCTTCTCTCCCTCTCCCCTCTTTCTCTGTGTATGTGTGTGTGTGTGTGTGTGTGTCTGCAGTACTAGGAACTGAACTCAGGAACACACACT